ATCACATTCTGTAGAGGCCGTCGTCACTTGTGGTGAATGGTCTGCACTCGACGCGCACCAGGCTGCCGAAAACAGAGGCCATATATTTGCCAAATCCCTCTTGAATACCGGTACAACTGCTTGGAAGTGGAAGAAACAAGTATCAAACTTGAATGCTTTGAGCTTTCCCCCTTCTATGCTTCATTTAGCTCACAGCATGGCACAAAATACTGTTGAAGTTTCCAGAGAGAAGAAAATGTATTATTTTTCATATGTCAATCTGACTGCTTAACTTTTTGGGGAGACGTGCATTTCTTGAGTCAGGCCACCACAGTTGCGCGATCATTGAAGCTTAAGGTTAAGTTTGGGTTTAGACTTAGGTTAAGGCTTATGCTTACACATTGGCTTATGCCTAAGCCTATGATTGGGCCTAGGCTTAGTCCTAAGCTTGCTCCGAGCGAATGAACGGCGTCTCAATTTTAGGTGACCTGACCCCAGGAGGAGAATCGCTACGCATCCCACTTTTTGTCTGCTATTCGAGCGACGTCCTATGGACACGCAGGCGGAAGTTTTTTCCCGGTTGTTAGCACGGGTTTGAATTGGTCGGGAAGTAGTCGCTCTGAAATCGTGGCGGTCCTTAACAGCTTCTCCTCTCACACGTTCTCAGCTAATGAGGGCTTCACGTCAACAATTAGCAGTGCTTGCGAACGACAAGCCTCAAACTTATACGATGACGACATACCAAGGTAGATAATAATTGTATTAGGTCGCTCGGATAATTTCAGAACTTCAGAAACTAATTTTCTAATTGGGATAAAACCAATATTGCTCTGTGGGAAACAGATGTTATAGTTTTAGTGATATCGGCAATACGTAGGGACGAGCAGCTTTACAAAGTCCATGTTAGTAGGGACGGTGGTAATCTGCTCGTTTGGGAGGGAGAACGTTCTAGAAGCTTTTGGCTTGCTTTTTCCAGAATGCTTAGAACTCTCGCGTATTTTTGGAATTTAGGCAAAGATTTCTACTTTTGCTTCGTTACATACTCTCCCTCCTCCTACCCTCTTGACACAAGAAATTTGTAAAGGAATTCTGAGAAGGGGAAGGGGTTTTCTATAAATAATATATTTTATTCAATAGGTTTAGGTTTTTTAACACCCTTTCCCCTGGTCCACCAGCTAACCTCTTTTGCCGGATTCAAAATCAACCACTTCCACAAATGTCGCCGAAAGATTCGGTCTGAATTTCATGCAGAGGATGGAAACCAGGGGAGGACTATAACTATACACCCATCTCAATCCTCGCCTCTTTGTAAACACGCACCAAATTCCATCGTTCCCTTGATTGCCAAAACATATGCGCAGCATTTTCCAAAGAAATAATCATGTCTAACCATCACTGCTTGCCTTGACTAAAGCAAATATCAGTCCCACCGGCGTGGTCGGGACGACGGCAATCCCCCTCGTCGACCCGACACCCACTCACTCCCTGCTACGGCATGCAAGAGTGTATTTTGTTATCAGTTACACTCTCCGTTCTTGACTAGGGCTGAACCAGCTCCGAATGGGAGTCGGCCGGGACGCAAGTCGTTACGACCACGCCCAGCCCTGCCGGTCGTTGCTTTGAAAATTCATCGCAGGCCCAGCGACCTATATGGATGCATGGAGGTGCTCGCATCCTTTCCCATCCTTTCTATTTTTTTTTCAAATGCATTTGGGCATTTTACAGTACCCTGCTGGAGCTGGGATTTTGATTTCGTTTCGACTCTGCGTAATAGTGCCGTTTTCGTGCTTTCCTTATTTCCTTATTTCGTGGGCGAAATGATCATGAAATGCCCGATGACGGGAAAATTCCGAGCGACTGCTTCAAACGGTGACGTTAATAATGCCTCGAAATCTCCGAAGCCTTGCAAATCCCCAAAGCCCGCTTTCAGTGTGAGTTTCATATGTGGGATTTTTACACCCTCAAACAATCACTTCTACAAAAAAAACAAGTATGTACATGAAATTGACTTTTATTGAATTCAATAAAGTTTGCATTTATGATTGAGAGAAAATTTTTTATTGCTATATCATTATGTGGGGTCAACAAAGAGTAGTCTAGTTTCCGTTTCGCACGTGCCCTTAGACGGAAACTAGACAAATAATGTGTCCTCCCTTAGTGCTCATCAGTAAGGGGAAGGAGGAGTAGAGATTTGAAGCTTGTTTCGCTCACTTCTGCTATCTTGAGCCTCCCTCTTTCATCAGTAGTCAACAAATATCTCACCATACACTCAAAGTAGAAGTGCCCTCAACTTTCGGAAGAGTCACGTTTTCTGCTGATTGCGGAAGCCGTTCCTGTTTCTTTCGTGCCTTAACTCTATCCCGACAACAAGTAGTACGTAGGCAATTTATCAATCAGGCTTGTATGTGTCGTGACTTTCAGTAAAGCAAAGCGCTGCACTTAACGCGCGCCTCTCAGCTAGTCAATCACATGGTAGATCTAGTTATCTATTCTCCAATACAGTGAACTTGGAAGGAGGCGCTGTAGCGGCAAAAGGCGCCAGTACCGCTCGCCTGGCCTTGAGATCAGATTTTGCACAGGATGCCTCCCAGACCTACTGAACCCTCCGTCTATAGAGGTCCGCTAGTTGATAAAGCACATATTCTAGAAGCCAAAGACCGATCCTGCAAGTTACTGTAATAGTCAAAATCAGGTTACTACCACAGTGAATGGGACTAGAATGTGTGGCGCATTCCGAAAGAAAGTGATCAAAGTCAAATGCTCTCTTCCTTTGACTCCACTCGGTATCATGTCCTACGTCTTCTCTATTTTGGATTGATGGCAAGGGTCGTGCTGAGCCTCACTAGAGAATCTTCCTGTGGATGAGTTGCTAGCTCCAACCCTGCAGTGGTCAGCCACCCGCGCTTCTAAACGCGTCACTTAGATGCTAGGCGCTTAGAACTTAGATCATCTTACCCAGAGAAGGATCCGTACCCGCCCACTAATCGATACCTTGCCTTTGTCGTAATGTTTTTTGCTATGATCTCTTGTTTCGGACTTCTTTGTCCTCTCCATGGCTCACATTGTCTTCTGGCTCGCTGCCTGGTTTTTAAATACGCAGCGTAGGTTCGTACGTTCTACTTTTACGCTTACATTTCCTTTTTTCTCCACTTGCTATCCCCTCCTATCACTATTTTCATGTTGAAGTTGGACCACCACATCAATTTGATTCTCGTCCTTGCCTTTTGGCCATCCTTCTCCCACTCTGACTAAACTGTTTTTAGTTCAAGGTAACGACGAAAGAGATACCCCTTTATTCGGCTACGCTCTTAATTGCTGTGATTCGTTGTTGTTTTGTTGTTGCTTTTTTCCAGATTTGTAATGATTTTTAATTTTCAGGTTGTTGAAGACTTCCGTTTCGAAAGTGGTCCCAGATACCCAATAACCGAGTTTACACAGAGGGCATATTCGGACAGGTAAGGCTCCACTACTATTAATTTTTTCACGCCCTAATATTGGCATACTTTCAGAAAGGTAGCGTAAAATTGTGTGCATCATTCAATTGGAAGAGATTTTTCGCTATCGCAAGATATGGGGGCATTGTTGAAATCATGTATTCAAGCTGTGTAAAAGATCTCATTTCTGCCAAAAACAGAACCAAACATTGAGTGGAGGGGGAGAGAATCCAGGTTGCGTGATCAATTCTCATTTCCCTCATAGTTATTCCCGCCTCCTAGGCTATGTCCTAGCATATGCCCCCGTATCGTGCGATAGCACCTTTCTAATTTATTTATGTCTTCATTGAAGTGCATTACACACATACGAGTATTTTGTCCAACCTGAGATACCTTGTATGCTCCGAACACTCAAAAAATTAGCTCTACTAGTTGCACCAGCTTCAAGAAAACGAGCTTCCTCCGCCCATTTCTGGTAACGGTGGGTAAAGTGTCGTAATACCGTTAAATATTAATAACTAGTATCTCCATAATAAGTTCTTATCTTTTCTTGAAACATATGTACTCACTTGAGAGGCAAACAATAAGTTTTAAAGATGCCTTATCCAGGAAAAATAACCCACGACTTAATTTCCTTTCTGATCTCCTTTCA